GCGGAAGTAATTTAAAATGAATTTGACGCACATTGTAAACATCAATAAAAGCAGGCACTGTTGTTAATTAGGTTTGTGCTTCTCGGAAATAGTCTCTAACAAAGGTAAACTCCCTTGGCTTCTCCAAACAGTTTCTAGAACAGTTTCACCCTCCAGTGTCAGTTCACAACTTACTACCAGCCAAACAGTTTAGCTGGGCTTTATGGCCATGATGGCTGTCCTAGACTCTGGATCAGTAACCTCAACTTTGGGGTAGCCTAGCAGTGGCTTCCAAAGCTGTCTGTCATCCAGGGTCCTGCAGATGCTCGGGGTTTTTTTTGTTTGTTTTTATTTTTTGTTTTTAATCGGTGCTCCTTAATCTAAACCAAATCCCTCATTAGTATTGTGGTTGTGAAGACAAAATCTCCAGAATTTCAACTGAATATATTGCAGTGCAGTGACCTTGGCCGGAATCTGCAGACAGCTTGAACCAATAGCTTTAGGAGTTGTGGACAGCTCCATTAATCTCAGCAGTGTGTTGACTTTTAGACCTAATAATGACATGTGGATGCTTCTCTGGGTACCCAGAATTGTGAGGTACTTTGCTGCTACCTGTCCTGGCAACTCTAGATTCCTCTTACTGAAGCTTTCTGTGCCATCTATTTGGGCGACATATTATGATAACCCTTGCCACAGACAGCACAAGTACAGTATTCCCTTCTCAGGCTCCCCACCCCCAGTCTACACCGTGACTCTGCAGACAAGCAAGAGGCACACATTAACATATGAGCCCTCCAAGCATCCCTCTGGGATGCCCAGCCCCTGATCACAGATTCACTGTTCCCGAAGGAACAGTATGCACCAGCTCATGCGTTGTACTTCAGGATCATTATGCTACTTAACACAGCTCGCGGTGAAGCTGGGGTACCTCTCCAGGACACAAGTCTGGGCAGATGATATTGCGGCTCTGAGTTGCTCATGCTTCAAGACCGCCTGTCATCATCAGTGGTAAAATCCAGAGGAGAGGAAGTACCTGATTCGCTGCAGGAGTTACTGGAAAACTACTGAGATGTCAGTACCTGACCACTTTTGGGGCTTCACTCCTGTTTTTCTGTCTGTGTTTACTCTCACGGTCTTATAGTTTCATGAAGTCACCCATCAGGCAGTGGGGCTTTTCTGTCAGGGGTTGCTCCCTTAGCCTTATGTCCTCCTGGACTCCCCACAATGCAGTGGGTTTGATGAGCCGCAGGTGGTACTGACTACAGTAGAGTCCCACTTATCCGACCTTCGCTTAGCCGACATTCCGCTTTATCTGACATAGCCGGATAAATCCTGGGGTTCGGCGAGAAATCCCTAGCCAGCCTACAGCAGCGCGAGTATGCGGGGTTGCTCCCTTAGCCTTATGTCCTCCTGGACTCCCCACAATGCAGTGGGTTTGATGAGCCGCAGGTGGTACTGACTACAGTAGAGTCCCACTTATCCGACCTTCGCTTAGCCGACATTCCGCTTTATCTGACATAGCCGGATAAATCCTGGGGTTCGGCGAGAAATCCCTAGCCAGCCTACAGCAGCGCGAGTATGCGGCCCCAAGGCCAGCCACCCCTCGCTGCCATGCCGCATGCAGCCTCTCCGGCTGAAGAGGATC